TACCCTTTACTCTTTCTTCCCACACCCAAGCCTGAGCATCTTCTCTGTACAAGACCCCACCTATTCATTACAGCTGCGATTTTCAACCTTGAGCGAGCACCACCATCACCTGGAGGGCTTGCTAAACCCAGCTGGCTGGGCTCCACTGGCAGGGGCTGACTCAGCAGCCTGGGGTGGAGCCTGATAATTTGCATTTCTGACAAGCTCCCAGGTGATGCATTAGTTGTCTGTCTAGAAACCATACTTTGAGAGCTGCTGCATACTAGAATAGCGACACCCTCCCTCAGGTGGATGTGCCTGTCAGTTCAAACTGTATCTCTTAACAGCCCTATGAATTTAGTATTATTACTGCCCTTCTGGAGATGAGGAAATAAAAGTTCAGCAGAAAGGGTGGATGAGACCAAGGTCTCACTGAGAGTTTGTTCCAGGATTAGGCCTGAAGCCAAAGCCTTTGGCCTCTGTCTCATCAACGTCAATGCTCTTACCACTCATCTTCCTGCAGCCACAGCCCCATCATAACGGCCGCATAATGCTGACATTAACAGCTACCATTTATAGACAATTTATTATGTTCTAGGCACTGAGCTAAGGTTTTAATATATCTTGCCTAATATCATGTTCATAACCACACTATGAAGTAAGGATTGGTCTATTCCCTAAATCAGATGAAGAAGTCCAGAGAGGTTAAGTCACTTTCCCGAGGTCACACAGCAGCTAACTGATTGAGCTTGGAGTGAACAGGCTGTTTGATTCTGAAGCCCACGTACTTAATCCCATGCTGTTCTGCCTCCCTACCTAACACGAAGGTCATGATCACAACAGTTACCCTGTGCCTCCTTTTTTGTCTGGCTCCAGGCCAAATAAGTGTATCCTGCCATTTAGTTCTTATATCAAAGCTTTGAAGAAGTTATTATTATCATTTTTAGCAATGAAAGAGCCAAGACATGAGGAGACAGGTGTATTCAGAATGGGGTTTCGTCTGGGAACAAGGCTCAGGGACCTTCCTGACATCTGCGGGGGAGGACATCCTCCCTGTATCCCCTCATGTGGCTTTTGTCACTCCCTGCCCCCTGCAAGTCTGCCTCATGACACCCTCAGACCCATCCACATCTCCCCAAGGGTGGAGGGACCTGCCCCCACCTCCTGGAGCAGATCCTGCAGAGCTGCTCTTGGTGGACTCAGGCCTTCCCTGGGAGTTCCCTCACTGCTGACTCATGGGGAAGCTCATCCTTGCACTTGAAAATGGCTCAAACAGTGTGCTGGAATGCATATGGAAAGGGGGCAGGCTGGAAGTGCTGAGAACTCAACATTTTTTCCTTCTGCTTAGTTATAAAATAACTTTTTCCTGATTACAGAATTAATACCATAGTATATACTTACAATGAATACATTTGCTATTGTAGGCACACACTAGGTAGAGGGGGATTGCTAGACTTTGTAGCCCCCCACCCTCAAAGGCCAGGAGGGACAGGAAGCCTTTGTGGCATTGGCAGTCATTTTGGGATGTGATTTAACCTAAGCCTCAGTTCCTTTATCTATAAAGTGGGGAGAATGAGAACCCTGCCTTAGGTAGATTATAAGGATTAAAGAATGCAGTGCCAACCACAGGGCCCCACACCTCACTGAGTGTAAGCACTCAATAAACAGTAGCCGGTATAAAGATATTCTAAGTTTTTTCTTTGCATTTGTCATATTTTAAAAAACTGAACACGAGTATATTACATATACAATTTTCCACTCATTTTTAAAAAACTTAATTTTTGAGACATATAGCTTCTTTTATATAACATTTCAGTGTTGAGACACACTTACTTATCTCCAAAGGACATGCATGTGGGTCATTTCAATCTTACCTTATAGTAAGTAAAGCTACCACAAATAGCTTCTACCTAAATCTTTGCTCATCTATGTGCTGTCTCTCATGGATTAACTCCTGGACATGAAATTTGGGGTCAAAGAATGTGTTTGCTCTGAAATGTAACGGATTTTTGCCAAATTGCTATTCACAGAAGACATATCTACTTACATTGCCCCAAAGCCTGTATTATTCTCACTCTAGTTTGTTATTCAGTCATGCTGTCCTGCTTTGATACTTTCTCTCTCCTGTGTGTCGTAGCTGAAGATATTCTAACCGTTGCCTTCTGGGGACACTGAAGTCTCCTTTCTGCTCATCATGCTGCCATTGCCCAGTCCACACCACCCCTCATGTCTGTGTGCATCAAAGGGCTTTGCACACAGCACCTTATCTGACTATCTCATAGGGTAGGAAGGAAACTTCTATCAGTACCATCTGGAAGGTGAGGCCCACAGGGGCCCAGATGATGGACCTTCTCACTGAGCTCTTTAGTACCACACACCATCACCCAAAGACGGTGACGAATGTCTGGGAAGGGCAGTGCACAGAAGGGTTGTCAGTTGGAAGTGAAGCCACTAAGGGTTATTTGAAACACTTACGTGTGCCAGAGACTTGGGGTGTATAGGTGGACAAGATCCACTCCCTGCCTCTAGAGAGCTCAGAATCCAGCAGGGAAGACAGGCAGATCCTCTGGTCATGCCAGGACGGGGTATTTTGGTCATACCGGGAGCACAGGAATATGGAGTGCAATGCTGGGGTGCTTCCTAAGCAGCGTGGGGAGCTCAGGTGAGGCTGAAAGGATGCCATCTTTGTGAGCCGAGAGCAAAGGGTGAGGGTGGGTTGGCCAGATTAAGGAAGGGCATTTCAGGAAAAGGAACAGTGCAAAGATGGCTGGGCCCGTGAGTTGGGCTTATGAGTAGTCCTGTATGCCTGGGTGAGGTGGACATCTGTGGCCTGCCCTGGCCCCACATCCCTTCCCCCACCTGGGGGAACCTGCCCATCCCCACCCTCCTGGCTCCACGGTCATGCAACTGCAGCTGACCAATTAGAATGCTGCATGGGACAAGCAGGCCAGTGAGACTCTGTGGGACTTCCCCAGGATGGGGGAAAGAGGAACTCTCTTTGCATGGGACTGGGTGGCTGTTGGTGAAAGAAAGCCTGACTGAGGGGGAAGCAGCCCAAACAAAAGCAGAGCCTGGGGACAGGTCAGTCCTGGAACGTCAGTTGTATGAGCTCCATCAGTTCTGATTCTGGGTTTAAATCAGATTGAGTGGGTTTTGGTAACCTGTAACCAAGAATCCAGACTAATGCAATGGGTCAAGAGGAAAAGGGGAAGGTGAGGGGACAGGCAGGGGCCAGCTTGTGAAGCTAGTTGAAGGCCACACTGGGGAGTTAAAGACTGGCCTAACCTTTAGAACTGGGAAGATCTCCTCCACACAGGAGAATTTTGCTCTGGGGGTTGAGAGAGGGAGAGAGAGAGAGCAGGAAGAAGGAAAAGAGAGTTAGTGACTCTTTGAGAAATTTCAGAGCTGTTGGATCAACTTTTCTTAGGTTTTCCCATCAGAATAGACAGGCTGGTCTGGAATCAGAGCCAAATTATTTATCCCTTAGCCCCCATGGCACATATCAATTTATCTTAATTTCTGAAAATACAGTCAAGCCTTTCAGACCAGTCTCTTCTCTGTCACCAAGAAGAAAGGGGATTTAGCAGAGATTAATCAGAGGAAATTTGGCACTTCGTAAAAGCCCAGCTCTGGCTGAAAGAGAACACCCGTAATCCAGTGAGGAGCTGCCAGCATGTGAATGGGCCCGCCTGTTCCCTTCGGCCCTGTGGGCAGGCTTTCCGCAGGGGCCTGGGAGACAATGCACTGGCAGATGGGCTGTTGCTGGCTCTAGGAACTCCTCTTCTCAAAGCCAGGAGAGGGAACGCCAAGGGAGAAAAGTATCTTTTACAGACCCTGGGAGCCTCCTCATTACACCGTGTCATTTCCTCTGGAGACTGATGGACATAATTGGATCAAATGGAAACACAAACCAGCCTCCTTTGCCCTCCTGGATGAGAGACTTCCAATATGGCTTCATTTCCAAATCCTTTGTAAGTAAACTGTGTGCAGAAAAATGCCATTTGTTCTGTCATAATTGCCAATGGGCATCAGTAGATGGGTCTTTGAAACACACAGAATGAAATCATTTTGGGTTTAGAAATTCCTTTGGGTAAATCTTTCTCCATTCATTATTCTCCATGGAGGGGCCTCCTGAAGGGGGCCTTCTAGATCAAGGAGCCCCTTGGGAGCTTGGAGGCTGAGTCTGCCCAGTGATACACTTGCTCTGAGTATTGAATCAACAGCAAATACTTATTAAGTGCCACTTCCATTTCAGGTACTTGGGAAACAGCAGTGAGTCAAACACAAAGAGATCTTTGTCTTATTGAAGTTTACCTTCTGGTAAGGACTCACAACTCAGATGCATGTCTGAGAACAAAGTTAGAAGACTACCTCATAAGTCAAGCTTGTTTAACTGACGGATTGGAAAACTGTGAAGTTATAACTCTTCTGATTCCTCATGTGTGATTTCACTGTACTCACAAGGATGTGACATTTGGCAAACTAGACTGCATGGGTTAGGGATACTAAGTGAATGTCATATATGCCATCACCCACCAAAGCCACACCCATGGCAGATTATCACCAATCAATCACCACTCCTTCTGATAAGCCTGAACAAAGTCTCAGAATACTTATGGACACAGACCTGGGGGCAGCTTCTATCAATGGATCAGAGTCGTCTGGGAGAGGAAACTGATTTGCAATTTCTGACTTAGACTGTTATTAAGTCGATTCACTAAGAGGTTGTAAATTAGGTGTAAATTAGAATAAGTAAATTAGGAATAGCCCCAGAAAGAGGCAAAAACTGAGAAGGGTGAGAGATAGCAGCCAACATCTCAGGCCAATTTTCCTCTCAGCTGTGCTTTCCATGTCCCAAGAGGCCCATAGAACATTGTGGGGTCAGAGCATGGGCTGTGGAGTCAGGCAGACCTAGTTCTGTTACTTCCAACTGTGTGGGGCCTTGTTCTGAGCTCTGCTTGCCCCACAGGCACTCAGGAGGCTGTGCCAAGAATAAGAGGCCTTCTGGGGAGCTGGCTCACCTTGAACGAGATTTCATACTGCTCCCCTCCCCAGATCTCCAAGCCTGGGTCGTACCCGCCCAGCTCCCAGAACCACTTCCGATCTACAGCGAACAGTCCACCGGCCATCACAGGAGACCTGCCAAAGAAGAAGAACATGGTTGGTCAATGCCATGTCCTGGCACATGCTCCTCGTGTTCCCCCAGGGACAATGCTCCAGGCTGCCCCAGGAGCACAGCCCAAGTGTCTCCCAGGGAACCCCAGCCCTTCGGAGTGAGGCCCCAGGTGCTCCTTCTCCCCCAGTCGTTTCCCTTCTTAAGTGCTACATTTTAACCAAATGGATCCAAAGTTCCTTTATATGATTAAGAACTAAGAATATTTGTGAAATGCAATCACAGGACTGTCTTCTCCAAGAGCTTGGGAGTCGCATCATAAACACACGTGTCTCTAATTCTTCCACTAAACGGTCTGAATCAGGACTCTCCAAGCCTGTCTTGTCCAACCCACGGCCTGCGGCCCACATGCGGATTATGTGAGGACTGTTTTTGCTTATTTGTGGTGTTGGATACACAAAAAGTATGTTTTGTCTTCAGTTTTCATTTTTGTATATTTAAAAGGTGTGGCCCAAGATAACTTATTTTTCCAATGTGCAGCAAAGAAAAAAAAAGGTGAGAGGTGAAAACAACATCTGGCTTGCTGGGCCCTGCCTTAGACTTACTGAAACAATCTCAGGGGGTGGGGAGGTGCGGCTAGGAGCTGGTGTTTTCAAACATGCTCCTTTGATGATTATTACTCAGTAAGCCCAGCAGGGACATCTGTTCTGCTGTGACGTTTACAGAAGGAGCCATAGTCTCTGTTCTTTCCGTTAAACTCGGAGATGAGAGTCACTCCACTCCTCCATCTCTTACTAGTTTGTTCACTGAGTGACGGCCCCAAACCAGGTGCTGGAAGAATATTGAGAATACTGAGGTAAATCACAGTCCTTCACGGCAGCTATGCCAGGGCAAAGGGCTCCAGAAGGGGGATCCTAGGGGCTCTGGGAGGTACTGACGGGCACTGTCGGGATGTGAAAGGAGCCTGTGGGCCTCCGGCTTTTGGGGGGTGGTGAGGAGGCAGCTGGGGCAAGGGAGATGACAGCTGAGTGGGTCTGCACAAGGTGTAAATGAGGGGAGGGAAAAGGACCGGGAGGGAGGAGAAAACAACACAGGCCAGGGCACAGAGATGACAAATCGCAGTGTCCACAGGGAACAGGGAGCCAGGCATCGTACTAAGCCCGAGGGGCTGCCTCACACAAGGTGGGGACTTGGTAGGGGCCAACCTGCCTGAGCTGTGTGAAAATCTATCAGAGAGTGGCTGTGTCCTTGTCTGGCTCAGTTGGAAAACTCCAAACCCTCAAGCCAGAGCACTCTGGCAACAACTTCGCTCCCTCTCCTGGCGAGAACTGCAAGCTCATGGCAGGTGGGCTGATTTAAAAGACCTCAGTTAACTCACAAGCTGCCCAAGCCTCCCTGTAGCAGATGAGCCTCTGCAGCACAGGCCAGGACTCCTTTAAAAAGGGAGCCCCTTGGATGTTTGCTGAGGGCTTGAACATGCCAGGTGCTGTATTGAACTATTTATTAATAAGACGAATTCAGTCCTCCCCTCAACCTCCTGTGGCAGGCCTCTTGGGCTGTACCCCCCCATTTCCCTCACATAGCTGGAGTGCAGACAGGAATTCGCTGGAGGCCCCTCAGCTAATAAGCAGCACAGAGATTAGATCTGAATCTCTAATTCCAGCCACAGTCCACACCACTTGCCACTACAATATGTTGATTCCTTTCCAGAAGGAACATGGAGAAGCAAGCAATCCAAGAAAGGGACAGGGGACCAGAAACTGGGACCCACCCCCCACCTTCGCTCTCTATAACTTGCTGTGTTTCCAAAAAGCAGTGTTTAACCATTAACCCTGTGCTGCCCAGTATGGGGGCTACTGGCCACAGGTGACCACTGAGCACTTGAAAAGGGACTGGCCTGAACTGAGATGTGCTGTGAGTGTGAGACACACACTGGGGGGTGATGGCCAACACTTAGGAAGAAAGAGTATGAAAGAACTCATCAATAATTTGAAGGTGTTGGTTACATAGTAAAATGATCATATTTTAGTTACACTGGTTTAAATAAAATATTTTATTAAAACAAGTTTTATCTGTTTACTTTTTTATTTTATTTTTTTTTTGAGACAGGGTCTCACTATTTCACCCCAGGGTAGAGTGCCCTAGGGTCATAGCTCACAGCAACCTCAAACTCTTGGGCTTAAGCAATTCTCTTGCCTCAGCCTCCCAAGTAGCAGGGACTACAGGTGC